TTTATTTTTCTTCCAGGTATATAAATTGTTCCTCTCAGAAAAAAATAATGAGCCACGGGAAACCCAACAGAAGACTTATCATGTAACGATCCCGGAATTTTCAAAGAAAATAAATTATAAATTAAGCGCGAAAGTGAAATAAATGGTTAAACTTTACATTCCTTACACAATAATTTAAAGTACTGAATAGTGCTACGAGGATTATCTTTTTGAAAGAAATACAAAAAAATAAGGAAATAAACAGAAAATAAATGAAACTAGTATCCTACTCGCAACCCTCTTGTGGATCAGACTTTATCCTGGTCCGCTTGATCTAAAATGGTTAAATAAGAAATGAGCTACACTACCTCAGTAAGAATATCATACTACTCACCGACACAGAAATGAAGGTTGGTAGAAAATCAAAACAATTAATGGAGCACTTAATTAAACAAATACATTTATTAATAATAAAATTATTTACCGTCCACTTACCGCAACGAGATTTATAAAAACAACCTATAGAGATAATAACATAACACTTATCATTATTTCATATGCAATCGGTAACATGCACACATTATAAATCCATATTCCATAAATCAAACAACAACTATCCCTTTTTCATAAGCCTGCTAATATTCATGGAGGTTCATAGATATGTCCCCACTACAGGTCAACCATTTCCTTTAACATTATCAATTAACGAGTCGTCCCTATACCCCTTCCGGTATGAGCACCAAATTACTAAACCTCAATACTTCGAGGGTGAAGCGGGCCGTTCCCATACCCCATCCAGTATGAACGCCAAATTACCAAGTCTCGATACCTCGCCCAATATGAGATAATGTTGACGATAGGATTCCCTATTGTACCTGATCTGTCCACCATCTCTCAGGATATCGAGCAAGGCAGTCGTTTTATCCATTCACTTAATCACACAGTTCCCATTTACCTTTAATCTCCAGTTTATCAATTCAACTGTAATCACATAAACAAACAAACATGCATCAGGGAATGCAATCATATCTCGATTTTTCAGTTTAACAGTAGTCACATAAGGCAGCAATACATACATTCAAAACCATAAAATCGATAAATTAGATATTATTGTGCATTCAATCTGTAAAATAAATCAGAAATCAACAGAGAATAATTTCCGGTTGTGGCTCCATTAGTAACCCGTAATTAATTATAGACATTTTCTAAATTGTACAAAATACCGTATTATTGTTAATTTGACTTCAATTCCATAACAGAGAATAGGGTGAGGGATTCTTGCTCAATTCGATGCCCGAAAAGTAAAACTTGTTTACTACACCTACCGGCGGTCTCCGGATTCTCTAAATTTTTCTTCGGAAATTAAAACGCGCTATAAGTACCTATAAATTTCTCAAAAATTCTAAAATAAGTCTCAAGACCCAATTTTGGCCAATTCCAAATCCAACAAGGTGGCTCCGCTTTATTCTGGCGACGTCGCCACTTGGTCCGCCTCGGGTCGCCCATTTTGCCCGTTTTAGGCCAAATTCGACCGATTTTGCATCAACTCCTGCGAGAAAATACATTAAGGGGTCTTGGTTGGTAGAAAAAATACAAAAAATTGAAACTCACTAGCAACGGGGCTCTCCGGTGCGGCGGCTCCTCTGGCTCACGTTGCGATTGGATGTTTTGCTCCGATCAACCTGTAGAGAAGAAAATAGAAATCATAATGGTAGAAAAATTATGCCGAACAGGAATCGGGAAGGGCCTCATCGGATACGTTTTGTGAAACTTTTCGCGGCGGCGCTGTTAGGCTTTGCCCGCAATTTTCGGCCAATCGGTTCGTCCCTTTGCTCCAATTTGGCCATAAGGGTGTTTAAAATTGAATTTAAAGCAAAAGGATATATTTTTACATTTTTTGGCGGTCGAAAATAGCTCTGGCGCGATAACAGGTGGCGGGGACTCTCCTTCTTGGTGGCTGGGTCTTCTTCTTTGGCGAGGGTTTCTGGTGGCTAGGGTTAGAGTTTGGTGTGAAGAGGGTCATTTTTATCCATCCCATTCAATCTGGGCCGTCCATTGTGTTTGATCTGTACCGTTCGATTGCGATTAAATAAGGAGTGAATCTGGACCGTTTATCGCGATCTAATCTGGGGTGTTTATTACGATCTAATTTGAACTGTCCGATCGTATTTAAATTTGACTGTTCGATCGCGTTTGGGGAGAGAACACATCCAGGTCGTCCGTGCGCACGGAAATAGATCTGGGCCATGCAATCGCGAGCACACAGATCGTCCGTGTGGCGGAGTGTGGCACTGCATCATCATTTGTTGCCACACAGCGCGTTCTGATTTGTCGGGACTGCTGACCGGGCATCCTACGTGGTACAAGTTTTCTAAATTGTATTTTGACCCTTGTTTTTCAATTTTTCTTTTAAAAATACCTCAAGAATCCAACCCTAATACTGCCATAACTGGAACTGATTTCATTTCCAATAACCAAATTCCTCAAATCGATTTTGCCACTCTTCATATTTACCCTGAACAATGGTATATATACCCTTCTACATGCAATGTAAAATTCTATATAAACTCAATTCTCAATAATTTATTCAAAATTTTTATCATATGCAAGTGAAAATGAGCAGTAAAAACATAAGGCTCATTATAGATCGATTGTGTATCAGGCTACCATGGGAAAAAGCAAGTGAAAGCGAGCAGAATGCTTTCGTGGACAACTGGATCAAAGTCCATACTCAAGATTGCAATTCAGTGATCAGAAAACCAGTGGTGATAGGGGGAGATTTGGTAGGTCTTCAAAGCTATCTGGGTTCACCTTGGAGAAGAGGAACATGTATTTCGAGAAGTTTACACCTGCAGTCTATACAGTGCCAGCACTGGAAGCTCATGTGCTGGTGCTATTTTT